TATGTGTGGAATGCAAGAGACCCTCCATTGCTGCCAGACTGTGGTCAGTGATCAGTCATAAAATCACAACCGTCCAATTCAGCAAGACTGATAATGGACCAGAACCTTTTGGAATGAAAGTTTGCATCATCCCACCTGACAAGGGATCATGACTAACTCAGGTATTTGCTGAAGGCAAAGAGGATATGGAACGGATAAGGAGGAAAGTAAGTACAGACACCAGCTCTGACCACAGGACTAGTCACAGAAATGAGGCTAATAGGAGTAACAAGCATTTCTTCCTTATATTGAGATGTATATATCTGCATACATATTCATCATAAATTTTTGTATTATTCTCATTCCATTTATATTAAACATAAGAGATGTTAACAATAATTAACTTAGTATCTCAATATTTAGGTTATAGAATATGAAATCAGCTGGAGAAAATAAATATCACTAGCAGACAAAATAGTGTTTTGTATCCTCTTGTGGGAAAGGTTGAGCTGTGTGTGGTCCTTAGCAAGATAGTTTTATCACAATAGTTCGAGGCATGGCTATTGTTATTCTCTTTTTTGGAGATTGTTTGTGTTGTGGAGATGTGAGTGGGTTTCATGAGTCAAGGGTTGACTGTGGTGGTTTATTAAGTGTCAACATTGATAGGCTGAACTGCACATCACAGAATTATTTGCTGTCTATATATCTTGTTAGTGTGGGTGTAAATAGAGATACTTGTGCAAGATTTGGAGGGTAGAAGTGAGGCAGCACCCACTGTGTAACTCACACCTTAGTTGTGTCTCAGCTGGGTCACATGGTAGGAAGCGGCATGGCCCCGATTCCCCTGGACTCACTGTCGGATGGACCTGATTCCCCTCCGTCTTTCAGAACCCAGAGCACCCAGTGAGTCAGGCTCTTCTTCATTCCATAAGATACAAGGAACAATCAGATATCTCTGGGGACGGTAACATGCACATTGGGGACTTAGGTGACAACCAGAGCTCTCTGTGGTATATACTGGCCTCCTCAGCCCTGAAGACCATGTTGGGGACAGCTGGCCATCTTAGGCTGGGTTCCCTGGAAGCAGACTCTGAGATGGAGAATAGGGTGAGTAGGAAATCTGGAAGGAGGGGAGGGAGGCGAGACTAGGGAGAAAGAGAAGGTGGCCCACATCAGGTTACACATGAGGCCTCAGGTTCCTCTGGGAAGCTCTGAAGCTGTCATCTTTCAGTGACACTAATTGAGGCAGGGCTTAGGGACCTTGTCCCCAGGTTGTCATTACACTGACCTCTAGGAGAAGGACATGAACCTGGGAGGCAGTTTTCTGAACCAATAATACTTCTCAGTGAGGGCACTGCTGAGACCTGCTGGCTCGCCAGCAGCAGTGCCGGGCTGGTGAGCCCAGAAGGGGAACTAAGTCAACACCTGAGTGTCCATGGCACCCCTTTACTTCACTCAGAATTACAGCTGGCTCTGGGAGCTGCGACTTCAAGAGCTCAGCTGAGCGGGGAAATTCTGGGGTGTATTTCTCCTCATTTGGGTGAAGACGTGGCCCAGTGACCACCATATAGAAATGCAGGGACATTGGCCATGGATGAATGTCTCTGTCTGTCCTTCCATTTAGGATCCTGTCCTTAATTCACATTCAGGCCCAGATAATACCATGTAACCTGGTCCTGCCAGCCCTGAGTCCACTCCTGATCCAGCTTCTGCAGAGCTGCCTGAGGTCTGGGAGGAGGGGAGCCTGGGGATCTCATATCTAGGGACCTGGGCCAGACCTGCTCATGGCTTTGTCACCAGTCCTCTTCTGGCTGGAGGAGAAAGTGACATAGACAGAGAAGGGGGTTATTGTTTCACTTCCCCATCTGTCTGTGTCACTGTGAGCATTACTACTGCTGTCAATTGCCTGACAGTAATAGTCAGCCTCGTCCTCGGCCTGGACCCCACTGATGGTCAGGGTGGCCGTGTTCCCCGAGTTGGAGCCAGAGAATCGGTCAGGGATCCCTGAGGGCCGGTTGCTATCACCATAGATGACCAGCACAGGGGCCTGGCCTGGCTTCTGCTGGTACCAGTGAACAACTTTGCTTCCAATGTTGTTTCCTCCACAGGTGATCCTGGCCGTCTGTCCCAGGGACACTGACATTGTGGGTGGCTGAGTCACCTCATAGGAGGCTGCAAAGCCTGCAAGAGAGAAAAAAGAGAGGTGGGCTTAAGTATGTAGGACATCTTCTCAGGAAACACTCAGCCTGTGTGACCCGGACTGAGCTCGAGGGACTATTGGGCCCCAGGTCCCTCCTCCCAAATCTCGGCCCCAGTGGCCCATGTCCTGGCTGGATGGTGGACGTTCTCAACAATCACCACCCTTCTGGCATTTGCAGGCCCTCAGGGCTCACAGAGAGCCAGCGAGCAGACTAGGGGGTTCAGCCCCACCAGCCCCTCCGCCTGCAGCAGGGTTATCAGCATCCCACCCTTACAGCAGCACTCTGCTGAGCTCAGAGTCAGGGCCAGGCTTGGCCAGAGCCCTGGGGCTGGGGGTGGGTGTGAGCCTGGGCGCAGCACCTGTGCAGAGAGCGAGGAGGCCGAGGAGGAGAGGGGTCCAGGCCATGGTGGAGGCACCCTGATTCTGAGNACCTGAAGTAAACAGAACCATCGAAACTGGAATGCATAGTAAACATAGTAGTGTGGACGAAAAAGGAGCCACAGGTTAAACCTGACACGCTTAGGAGACTAAAACTAAGATGGCGTGAACACGCACACACAAATTTTTAACTAAGTGGACCATGATGGAAGTCACATCTTCAGCTTCCTCCTTAAGTTAATCTGTGCCTCTTTAGTGGGCCTGTTGTCTTTCTGTACCTAAGATAACATCTTTAATTCTTTTTTCCATACCAGAGCTAAGAACTGCAAAATTTCTCATTACCATGCTTGTCTCTTGATTAGCATCTCTATGTGCTGTGAAAAGCTGTTAGCTGTCCTGTACCCACCTGTGTGAAAGAAGTACCTGTCTCTCCAATTTACTTTTATCCAATCCCAGAGGTTTCTCCGCTTTGCTTTCTTCCGCTTAATCTGTCACCAATGGGTTTCATGTAACCTTCCTCCTTTGATTTTATGTATAAAATAAGCTGTAAGAATGCCATTCTTCAGAACATTTTCTCAATCTGTTGAGATTTTGCTTCCCAGCAATTGTCGACAGTTTGGCTCAAATAAACTGTTTTTTTTTTTTGTTGTTGTTTTTTTGGCTTAGCCATCCTGCCCCCTGTTGGCAGCTTAACGGCAGCTCAGCTCCAGCTGTGAATCGAACCGGCGACTCTGTTGCTCAGAGCTCGCACTCTTGAGTAAGCTCTTAACCAACTGAGCCACTCGGCCAGGCCTCAAATAAACTCTTATAAGTTTTCTCTTACGCTGAATGTTTTCATCAACAGTAGTAAAGAGAGTCATTAAAGTTTGGCAAGAGAGGGGAGGGGAGGAAAGCAAAGAAATACTTTCAAAAAGCCCCAAGCTAAACTACAATGTTAAATTGAATTACGCTAGAACTTTAAATCTTCAATTAGAAGATATAGTGTCCCTGGCCTCAGCTTCCCTTGACCTATCTATAGATTAACATTGATCATCCCAGTCTGTGGGCTGTGAGGTTTGATTCTTAACCACCCCCTCAGCCATGCGGGGCTGTGCTCAAGACCTGTTGGTACCAAGAGACATGATTATAACCCACAATGTCACTACTGCTCCAGCATAAGAGATGGTGACCGGGTGTCCAGGCACCCCAGATGCTTAGGGAGGTGAGTCAGAACAGACTGCACCCTCAACCCTGATGAGAGGGAGAGGTGTGAATCGGGATGAGTGTAGGGTGAGCCTGGGTGGGAAAGAGAGCAGGTCTCCTGTGCTTCACAGAGGGTGCCTTCCAGTGGTGACTCTCACCTGAGCTGCGAGTAGCAGGTGAGCAGGAGTGAAGCCACTCAGAGTATGGTCCTTGGAGGACCAGCAGCACAGGCTCCCAGGGACCCATCAGACATGCAGGTTCCAAGGCCCACCATGACCTGCTTCAGTGGCAGCTGCATCTTAGGAGACCGCAGGGGACTGTATGCTCACTGAGGTTCCAGAAGCTCTGGTCTAGGTCACCATGGAAACTCTCACTTCCTCTTGCTTGTGTCCCCGAGTCCTTCCTGGGCCAGCTGGGTCTTGATGATTAACTGTCCTGCCCTCATCAAACTGAAATTGATTCAGGTGCTAGACCCTGTGATGCTATGGAGAGTATGTTTTAAGAGCAGACACTTCACAAGCCCCTGGGTGGTGTGTGGGGAAGGGGATGTCCCAGAAACCGATGGTTGAGGCTATTTCTCTTGTTCTCACTGAGTTCCACTTAATCTGGACTTTCCTCATCACCTCAAACATTTTATGATCTTTCTGTCTTAGAGTCTCCATTTGTTTCTTCCTTGCGCTGAAACACCTCCCATGATCCTAGACCTCTCCCAGAACCTGCAATTTCCATCTGTTTAGTCTGGAATGACAGAGCTGGCATCTTAAAAATAGCAGAGGTTTATTGCTCATACTTCTGAGTCTGGGCCTATAAGATCTAGACCTTCAACATGGTCGACTTCTGGTGAGGGCCCTCTTCCTGGTTCAAAGCAGGCACCTTCTGGCTGTGTCCTCCCCTATGTGTTGTGTTTTTGTGGGGGCCTGAGAATGTGGCTTTTGTTATAAGGGCGCCAATCCCATTCATGAGGGTTCTACATCATGTCCAATCAGCTGCAAAGGGGTCCATCTACCGATACTTTCACCTTTGGGTGTTAAGATTTCAACATATGAATTCAGGAGTTACACAAACATTCAGACCATAGACCTACCTAAATCTTAGCCATTTTTTCAGTTCTGAGTACATGTCACATGTCTAGACATGGCCTCTAACCACTAGAACATTTGGCAACACTGAATTATAATTCTTTTTTTTCTTAAGATTTTAATTGGGGAATTGGGGAAGGGGAACAGCCAAGTGGTTGTCCTTGAGTCTTAGTTGTGGAAGGTGCAGCTAGCTCAGCTCAAGTCCAGTCGCCATCCGGCTGCCCTTGGACAGCTCCTGGCTGATGAGCTCAAGGTGTCGCGATCAGTCTTAGTTGCGGGAGGGTGAACCGGAGGGAGTGAACCGGAAACCTTGTTGTTAGGAGAACGTGCTCTCACTAGCTGAGCCTTCCTGCTGCCTGTTGGCAGCTCAGCTGCAGCTCACCTCGGGCGCAGCTCACTGGCCCATGTGGGAATTGAACCAGCAACCCTGCTGCTCAGAGCTCACTCTCTTAACCAATTGAGCAACCCAGCTGGCCCCTGAATTATTATTCTTTAGTATTAACACAAAGTATTCTCCCCATTGGGTGTTAAATGTTTAGATTCTTTGCATGGAATAACACCCCCACCCTGTCTCTACACCTCCAATCTTTTCTTTATGATGCCCTGATAGGACTAGAAAAATAGCAGGAAGCAAAATCAGGAATGGAAGTGCCTTTGAGGACTCAGTGACATGGCCAGGTAAGTGGCAGCCCCTTATAGACAGAGGCAATGTCCTCCAGGCAGTTGTTTGTGCTGTTAAGTCAGCATCTGATAGACGCTGTGTCTTTTTACCTAGGCAGCATTCATGGGCCTGGGACTCAAGGGGTGGAACTGGGAGGGGC